GTGCCGGCCCGGGAGAGAGGGGTGAAACTTACATATGACAAATTCAACGCGCTCCTTCCTGTCCTTCCTTCCTTCCTGCCGGCACTGACACCTATGGCCCACGGCCACGCTGGGTATTATTATTTTCATTCCTTCCCGCATGTCTGTCTGTCTGTCTCCTCTGTCTGACTGTCTGGCTGCACCTTCTCACACCATCAAGCCCCACGGAACTCTTTTCGGATGTTTTTTGCCCACCCACCTCACTCTTTCCAACCACCCAACGGACTCTAACCACCACCTTCCACCCACCAACCTCTTTCCACGTACGCGCTCTTACTTCTTCTTTTTTCTCCTTTTTTTGTTTCTTTTTCCGCCTTTTTTCCCTCCCCATGAACACGGAACACGTGACTGTGTCGGATCCTCGAGGACATCGGGACCGCTTTTGTCTGACGAGAGAAGATTCTTCCTCCTACGGGACAAGCTTCTCTACCTCGGTCAACCACCCCTGTACGAGCGATTTTTCTTTTTTTTTTTTTTCGCCATTTTAAAGTAGAAGAGTACTCTCGTGCCTTCGGAGAATAGTTCAACCTCAGATATCTCGCTCGAAGAAAAGAGAAACGATACGGGCGCAGGAGGCGCCCGGTTTTTTCCCTGAATTCTATTCGTACTTGGTCACGTGACGAGGCACGGCAATTAAAAGAGGATAAAACGAAGCACCTGGCAGAAGCAGGGTGCGCAACCCCTTGAGGACTTAATAAGAAGGGGTAATAACAACCAATTTTATCGAACGTCAGTCCGTTTCTTTGATATAGCGGCCACGGCCGCACGAATACGTGGTAAGCGCACATTAATTTCCCCGGCAAATAACCGGGATTCATAAGCGGGAGGGGAGAGGGAGGGTTGCGATCCCGTGCGGAGGTTGCTGCGAGCCCGGAGAATACCGTACGTGTCCAGAAAATACGGTCTGCCGTCTCCGTGCAAAATAATGCCATCAATATAAAAAAGGCGACCCACCGCGACGCGGTAATAGAAACCGATTTGTCAGGAAGCTTTTACATTTCGACGCAGTGGGTTTCACATCTGATAGCCCGTTTTATCCCGCGGGACCCTGTCCCGTGTACTCTTTCCCTTCTCTACCTCGTGCACTGCTACTAGCCAGGAGAGAGAGGGGGAGAGAGAGAGAGAGAGAGAGAGAGAGAGAGAGGCCGTTTCTCTCGCAGCCAGCAGCCAAGGGAATCACACCGAACCACCCACCCCCTTTTCAACCACCATCTGACGACGTGAACTCACCGCTTCTCTGTGTCCGAGTCACCCCTCGTTGGCTGGCCGATTCCTCGTCTTCCTCGCTTATAAAGCCGAGTAGATAGGAAATCTTGTAAAATGGCCCGGCGAAAGACAAATATTACCGGGGATCGCTGACAGTGAGATCCGATTTATTTTGCGGGATTCCGGCTACCTTCCGCGACGACACACACCGACCAAAGGGGGATACCTTTCGATAGCCTTTCCTTGTACACGGATATGCGTATATCCCTCTCTCTGGCGCGAGCTCTTGCACTGCCTCTAGCGTAGACCAGATCCGCCGCGAATCTTTCCGCGAATGGACATGTAGAAATTGTCGAATAATTGCGAAAATTGTTTGTCTTGAACGAGGGAGTGTAATAAAACGGAGAAACGTCGGGCAGACACAATGGCGCGATGGCCAGCCCCGAAACCGGAGGAAAGGGGAGGGGGAGGAAGAAAAAAAACCGCTGTAATTACACGGTACGAATCGCGCGCGTTCGAGCCGTTTAAAAACTTACAGCTCGTCCATTCGCGGAACGGTATTCGCGAAAGGGCGCTGCGGAGAATGGCGCAAAAGCTTCGCGAGAAGGAGGGGGTGGAGGGGGAGGTGGCGGAGGAGGAGGAGGAGGAGGAGGAAGGGTGGGCGACTGTTAATTGAAAACTACCGAAAAGCACAATTGCACGAGAATTATTTCTATTCATTAGCCGGGTGGTCGGTCGGTCGGTCGGTCGGTCGAGCGAGCCAGCCGCCGAAAAACTTTTCCTCGACCAGGCGGTTTTTTTCCTCCTCTGTTCCCACCCCCGCCCTCCACCCACTCCTACTCTGGCTGGTTCCTCTTCGCGTAGCCAAACCACCCCCTTCATAACTACCCCTGCCTCGGTCCACCGACCGCACCCCTTCTATCCTCTGCTGGTCGCGCGTGGCGTAATTATGTAACATAAATACAATCCCTCTCGCGACGTAATTTTTGCGGTATAAGCTCAAAAGCCTGGGTAGCCCCACCCCGGCTGGCCACACGGCCGTGCCCTCTCCTCTCCTCTCCTCTCCTCGCTGAGAGGAGAGAGAGCTTTTTCAGGAACGCTTTCGCAAATCAATTTATGGCGTAACGCGGACGTTCTCATTGTCCACGGGGGGGTAGTAGCCGACGGTCGCATCGTGGCTAAACCTTTTGTAACACCGGCAGCCATTGTTGTGACAGAAAATTATATCGTAATGCTTATTTACGATGAAAATCCTGAGCCGGCCTTTGTTGTCGCTTGTCAACCGTTCAATGCAAATGTCCTACTAATGGGCAATTCTTTTTCGAATCGTGCAAACGATCGTACAACGTGCAGGGGCACGCATATCGTACAGATAACGGAAACGTTTGATAAAATTCCTCGAGACAACTACCAAGAGATCGGCGGCGATCAGGTTCGATGACCTAGCCCTCGTCGAAATTTGCGAGCACGCTCGCATTCACCCTCGGCCGCTCATACGGACGAGAAGCATCGATGAAATCGAAGAAGCTCGAAAGATGCTTCCGGGAATTCCGGCGGGAGTATTTTCGTCAGTCAATGAATTTACAACCCCTCTTTAACGGAGTTCACCCTTAAACGCTTAACGCGAACTGCTTCACGGCACGTGAGAAAAAAAGCTAACTGGTTCGCGGGTGGATGCGGTGGTCGGGGGAGGGCGTGTAAGCGGTCTTGAGGGGTGAATTAGCGCGAAATAAGTGCAGAAGAGCTTCAACACCCCCGGCGGTGGCCCGACGATAGAACGAGCCACACAAGTTCGCGGCTCTCTGTACGTGCACGGTATAGACGGTAGTCTTGGTGCGAGCCCCATAAGAACATCGTAAGGGTGAGAGGGCGGTCTGGAGTCGAATGAGACGATACCCACCGCCGTTAGGGTGGGCTACGCCGCTCCGGGTGGAAGCGAGAGGGCGGGAAACGACGTAACGCGCATAAAGTAAATTGCCGCGAAATCTGCGCGAGCCTCCAGAACGGCGTGGATAAGCGAAACAAATAAAATAAGAGCGAAAGACGAGGCGGCACCGGAGATAACCGGGGAAAGAGGTGAAAAGGGTACCTCGAGGGTAATGTGATTTAAAGGCTGGAAGGTAACGCGTTTCGAATACGACCAAGAAACCGTGTTCCGTCCTTCCCCGATGAATGATCTCTCTCTCTCTCTCGTTTAATTCTACGAATCTGATCGTGCCGTGAAGCATTACGTGGTAAATTGAAAATACTTTATTTTTAAACTTTGACACTAGTTTGGTTAGACCTGTCTTGATTTTTCCTCCCCTCTCCCTTTGGCTAAATTTCTACGATAAATTTCGCCGCTCTTTCTGCCGCGTCGTTATGACCGACCGCGATAATCATAATACACCGGGACAAAAGTAATAGGAACAATCGCGGTGTGATGCAGTTCTTTTTTGCAGAACGGTCTGACGTTTTCCTCTATTCAGTCCCCAAGCCGAGCATGAAAAAGCACACATCGTCCGTTACCGCGGTGGTGGCACGGTGTAACACCACCGTCTGCTCTGCTCTCTTTCTGTTTCTCTCGCGCCCACTCCCGCTCGCTTGCCGGCGTATCGTCGCCACACGCAGACCATTACAATTTCAGTTACATTTTAATTAGCAGAGAATACTAATGTTTCGCGAGTGGCGGTCGCCAGCAAGTAGCCAATGAGCGCCAAGTTGACTCCTGCAACTCGAGCCCGTTCCAGAACCCGACCTCTCTGCCACGCGCGCCCTCCGCGTCGCGCGCGTTTCTGTCCCCACTATTACGCTCGGCAACCCCGTGAAACCGACATGCATTTCACACCCCATATTCGCCACTTTATACGCGGGGCGGCTGGCCTGGCGAAAAAACGAACGAACGAAAGAAAACGCAAAGCAGGCGGGGGGCGAGAACAAAAAGGAAAGCAACGCGCTGTGTTCCTCATTTATGTTATTAGCTCCCACTTTGGCGCCGAGTGTTCTTCACGGTGAGAGGTAAAAGAAGAAAATAGGGGGGGAAAAAAAGGAGAGCAAAAAGAAAGGAACGCAACACGCCGTTGGAAATAAACCACACCGTTACGCGTTTTCCGCGTTTTCCACGTTTTCCGGCCTCTCGCGTTTCGCAATTAACGCGCTCGGTGTAACGCGCCTGGAAAAGCACAGATTTCCACAGATTGTTTCTCGTGCTTGTTTCGATCGTTGGTCGGCGAAACTCTGTCATTGGTACCAAATGGTTGAAAAAGATTAAACGAAGGAACTCGATGCACGTGGAGAAACAGAAGAGAAGTTATATGTTAGAAAACACAGGGACGAGAGAAAGAGATAGGGGAGGATTAGAATATTCGAGGAATATTCGAATAATATCGTACTTTCTAACAATAAGTCATAAACTTCTCTTGGTTCTTAGCCAGACGAAATTCCAAAAGTTTCGTATCGACGGTCGTACAACAAATGCGATTATCGATGTCTCGCATCGTACATCCCCTAAAACGACGGGGAGTAAAGCGTGCGCTCGACCCCACGCGCTCGTTCAACCTTCTCTCTTTGTCTCTATCGAGCTTTGCGTACTTTGTTTTGGAACTTGTCCAGAAATAATATCGCGCGGATTAAGCTTGGTATAAGATATTGATAAAGAAAGGGAAAAAAATAAGTTAAATTTTATCGCATGTCCAACGACTTGAGAGAGAGAGAGAGAGAAAAAAAGAAAAGAAAAGAAAATATGTCGCGTACGAAAAAAATATCGTTCAACTCACATTAACAAGCCATGTCACTCTGTCTCAGAAGCCTGGGAAGTATACACCACTGACCTGAAGCAAAAAAAAAAAAAAAGAAGCAACGTATTACGTTAACACGTAAGAGAAAAAATCGAAAGGTATAAATTAATCATTAGAGCTCGACTTTTTGATCAAATATGTAATTTAGCAATAAAAATAGAAGTTCCATCGATCCTTTTTCGGTCATGCCACTAAATCGTACACTGGCAACTTTTCAAACTACCACTTGCCGCGTAATTATTGGCAAGACGATAGTGAGAAGTCTCGCGGTTGTAACTCAACCTTTCGATCGAAATAGAAGATGGTGGGTAGGTATACCAGCGTATATTAAGGTACATAAGTAACGTCACTCGTAAACTACCTCTTCGCAGCTACTTTTGACGTATGTATGTATGTATGTATGTGGATACGTGACTTTCGATTTACGAGAAAGTCTATTCCTTCTTTTTTATTCACGAACCATATAAAGACCACCATCACCACCACCACCGCCACTACGGTGGCATTGCACCGAACCTTTCGGGCTCCTATCGTCGAAACTTGAATCCCGTCAGGCAAAGACAATGTGGCCACGATTTAGGGTGCCTCGATTCGTCGAAAGCCATTCTGACGTATCCTTCGACTGGACGCGAGAGCCCGCCTGCCAATGAGGCGACGGTGCCGTTAATTAACGAACTCGAAAAGTAACGTACTGAAAGTACAACTCGACGAAGCATTGAGGGGTTCCGGGGGAGACTGACTAGTCGAGGAGGAAGGGAATGAACGAGCCGAGCGCAGGACGGAAGCTCGCGCGTATAAAGGGTCGGTGTCTGGCCAGACGGGCAGAAATGAAGCAGCAAGGGTTTTGTTTGTCCGGCTGTCCACCCCTTTCCTTCCCCCCAGTTCACCCCCGCGGGCTCGAGCCCTCGCTGTATGAACCTCGCGGCCCCCTTCAACCCCTTCTGTTCCACCTCTAACTCCGGAACCCCCTTCGTATCTCCTCGCCCCTCTGCTTTTCTACCTTCTATCCGGGCCTTCCCCTTGGCCACCACCTCCCACCTTCCTCCCTCTTCCCTTCCCCCCCCCCCGTTCACCTAGCCTGCTGCGTTACACCCTTCTTACACCCTGAACCTCCTTCCCCTGTTGCCGCGTAACAATGCTCGTGTGTACACTGTGTTTGCTCACATTCTCTCGCGTATATCTTCGCGAGCTATAATATTGATTACTTCGAACGAATTTCGAGCAGGCCTCGTGCCGTTACCTCGCGTAGCGTGAGCCGACGACCGTCGCTGCAACAACGACGTTCCTACGATTCGCCCTGTACGATCGGCACGACGTTTCTCCCTTTTATCGGCCCGACCCCCTTTCTGCATCGAAATGAAATGCTCCTTCCTGCTCCACGCTCCGTAAACCGTCGGCCTTCTTTAACACGCCGGCCTCTATCTGCGTTTCTCTAACAAGCGTCGCAATGCAGACTTTTCACTCGCGCCTGGTTCAAATTAGCCCCTTCATACAGACTCTTCCTGCAATTTGGTTCCACCGGTTCTACCGCGGCGCTGCTTTCCGGTTTCGCAGTCGGTGTACCAAGGCTCAACGATTAAAACCACGACTACTGAACGTATCATACACGTATACATATCTCTCCTTCCCTCTCTCTCTCTCTCTCTCTCTCTCTCAGCAAGAACCGCCGGCTGGAGAAGCTTTCGTTTTCCCTTCAATTTTCCACGAAGATTGAAATAAACTTTATCGTTTGTCTACAACGTGTCGAGCAGAACGTTACGCGCGTTCCGTGCGCAGTCAATTTTTCGAGTCCTTTCCAAGAGGAGCCGCGTGTTCCGGCTAATAATTGGCGAATGAAAAATGCAACAATACCGGAGAGAGAAAGCCGGTTGTAACTCACCGCCGTGGCAATATTCAGCTAAAAAGACTCGTCATTCCGCCCCAGTAAACGGCCACACGACTTAAATTGCGTCACGACCATCCCGCCAACGTTTAATTCCATTCGCCATCTTTCCACCCGTTTCCCCGTCCGTCACCCGCGGTTCCACCCACGGGAACGTTTTCAACGTTTGCCTCTCCTCCCTCTGATTCGCATCACCGCCAACACCGTATGTCGCGAATCGAAGTACAAAGAAGCAATAGTAGAAATAAGATAATTGCTATTACAATTGCAATTTCATCCAGGACGATGAAGCCGGCACGACGAGACAGGGACGAAGGGAGGGAGGGGGGTGGGCGAGAGGAAGCGAGAGCGAGAACGAGGCGCACGCGAGGAAGAGAGAGAGAGAGTGAGAGAGAGACGAAGAGGCCGGTGAGGCGAAAAGAGAGAAAGTCGGAGATGGGACGACGAGATGGTGGTAACTGCCACAGAGAGTTCAACTACAAAGTACGTAAATGTCGTGCTCACACCCCGCTCTCCTTCCCGTGCACCCTCGGCGTCGCTGCGATGCCGCAGACACGGCATTTGTTGTCGAAGCTTCGGGGATTACACAAATGAGGTTGTTCAGCGAGAGAAATGTACATTCCCGTTACAAAGCTGCTCGCGTTCAGCCACGTACGGAATTAAAAAAAAGGAAAGAAAAAGAGAAAGAGGGAGGGAGCAGAGGCAACGAAAGGTGAAAACGTTCCGCCTCGCTATCGCTCGGCGTATCGCGGACAATATTTTCTTTGCTGAAAGCCCCCTGCCGCGTAGAATGGGATTTCCATCGACCCGCTTCCGTTTAAACCCTTCAAGAACGGAACCCGCTTTTATCCGGACCCTTCTTCCGTCAATATTGCTCTGTACATGTTTTTACACGCATCTTTCGAGGAAATCACCCTTTCAACCCGACGCGCGTACCGCTAATTGTCCGTTCGACGACCGATCCCAGTGTGCTCCGAGAGATAACCATTTATTCTTCAAAGTGTTCTTGCAACCTGCAGATTGTAACGACCGTTTGATTATAACGATTAATTAGCCCGAACACGTACATATTCGTACGTGTTCGATAGTTTCACCGGGACAAGTAGGCGAGGCACAGGCGAAGAGAAATCAAGGAGGAGAAGCAGGCAGTCAGCCCCTGTACTAAGCATACCGTAGGGGCTAGGGATAGTAATTGTATACGTACTAAGAGAATGGCAAGGTAAACAAAACTATGTAAGATTGCCCCATTAATATACATATCTCTTGGTTCAGTTGGGCCGTGAGAGAGCCGACCGACCCTCTCTCGTTGTGCTTCCGCCCGTTGTGCCTGCTGAACGTTGGGGGGGGGGGGGGGGGTAGGGGGTGAGTAGTCTTGGCCTTAGACTCTGGGGTTAGGCTCGTTCGAGAGCAAGGAGGGTACACAATGGATATTGAGACCATAATTTACGGCTGATTGTTAGCCCCGCGATCTATGGATTCCTCCGTGCTAGGTTACCTCCAGCTTCCCTTCCGACCACCTTCCGACAACTCTCTCTCATCCTCGAATTGTGTCGAATTTCTGTTAGATCTGTGGGTAACAAGTACAGCGAGAGAATACCGAGCGCGTGCAATACGCGAGTACTATATACTACGAGTGAAAGGCCACACGACGTTCGAGAGGAATCTCGTGGAACATTTTCGTGCGCGTAATGTCTACTGCTCGGCGAGTTACTACTCCTCGTTTCTTGTATCCAAGAGTCAGCGGTCAAATCGCCGGAAGCAACAATTTTATGACGCTCGAACGACTACGTTGGGAAATCGTTCGTAAATCCCTGAAGAACGTTTGAGCCAAGTTTTAACTATAATTTTCTAGATAAAATTTAAGGTTGAGAAATAGAATGGAAACAGAGCTACCGGACGGAGAGCGAAGACGAGGCAAAAGCAGAGATAGGTTTGTTTTCGAGCGGTATCGTTAATTGGCCAAAACTCGAATGGAACTGTACCGTTATGAGGTCAGCCACTCTCTCTCTCTCTGTCTCTTTCTCTCTCTCTTTCTCTCTCTCTCTCTGCTTATCCGACTGAGTTCGCAACAAGAACGCTGGTTATAAATTAATTACGAGGGTCAAATTCACAACTGGGTCCCATTCCACCAGACGATTTTGGAGGGAGGCGAATGTCTTACTAGTTCGCCGTTGGCTCAAGGGACCGAGTAAAGGAGGAGACGATGTTTGGCCTTCCTTACAAGGGACCAACTAACCAGTCGACCGACCAACCTGCCACTTACCGAAGGATAATAACGTAGTAATCCTACCATGAGACACGGATGAAGTCCTTAATAACCCTATAAGCCCAAGATATATGTTGCATATCAATATACCAGAGACAACTGCTGTAGCTACATTATATTCCGGAGAACTTTCGACCAATTAACCTATCGTACAGCTATAAGACGGTAACATCGATTAAAACACGAAATAATAACTTGTAATTTACACACTAACGATTAGTACAGTAGTTTACGATGTTACATATTTTTTTGAGAGGACGATTACTACAGTTACATCACGTTTAACTTTAATATAAAATTTTGATCTATCACTCACAATTGATAATAGTTGATACCTACGTTACAACGTTACTTATCTTAAATAATTTCCTAGAAAACTGTTGTAATTGACGTTCAAACATTTGGTCAATTAAGGTGGATTAAAATACAATATGTTAATTTATTGTAATTCACACAAAATAAAAAGTTTTCAACGATTGATCTCTCGAGATAACTGCTACAGTCACATTATATTCGCTGGTACTTTTGACTAATCAAGTTATTACACGTCTGTAAGATCGACTGAAATAGAAAATTTTCGATGAATAATTTACAGCTGACGCGACATTTTCAATGTTGCATATTTTCAATGATTTTTCGGCTTGCCAAACGTAGCAATAAGAGCAAACGCTTGTTTGTCTTCATGAAATGTTTGCAATAAATTATTCCAGTTGGATATTAAATATGTATCGTATTGCTTGGTACGCGTACTCATAAACGGACGCATCGCAGAATTCCAATTTCGAATCGATCTTCGGTAATTTTCCAAAATTTTCAAAAACCCAACACGAATTTCAATAAAGCCCTAGTAATTAATTTGTGATTATATCGCGAATGCCGGCAAAT